TGTTTGTGTTTGTCTTGTCTTGTACAAAAACCAGTGTATGATAATAAAGTCTTATTGTGAATAATCATACACTCGACTCACCATCCTTTCCAAGTTCCATTGATCAGGGAGCTAGGGGGGGATAACAATAATTTAAAAGTACAACCGACCAAATTGCTCGCGAAAATTTCGTGAACTCACAAGAAAATTCTTTTCATAACGAAATCAATTGTTCTCCATGATAAATAATGCTTCCATTTTCCGGTGTTGCGGCATCTTCGTGAAAATGAAATTTTGTAATTATATTTTTGACAGTTGGATTATTTCCAATTTTAATCTGTGGATACGGAATATGGAAATATCAAGATATTACCTCTTCAAGATCCATATAAGGACTGCAACCTTCAGGGAACATTTCGTCCACAACAACAGGCGATTTTTGCCAAGACGCCTGAGGGAATCTCTGTCGCGACATCACACAAAACTCACTGGATTTATCAATCTGCAAGCACAAGAATAAACGGCCATCAAATGAAAAATTACCACAGAACTCAACAGCGTTACAAAATTTTTTTTCCATCACTCGGAAAAAACAGTAAACGGCCACCGTGGTAAAAATTCAAATATCTCTGGCCAGGTTTTCTATTCGCACTCTGGTTTCTTGCAGAATCATCTTCCTTTCCATGGGACGCAAAATGTCCTTTGGCTGCAAAACAGGAGAAAATCAGGCATTTCAAGATTTATTTCCGTGATGGGACAAACTTTTCCGTCATCTCTGGAAGTTGCTTCTCGAAATTTAAGGTAGGTGTCGCGCTTTTCATTGACCTTGAGTTAACCCAACCCAATTTTATGTGACGGTCATGAAAACGAAAGACATCTACACAATGCCACAGGAAAATATCAAAGATGGCGACGTAGAACGAAAGAGGTGGAAAAATGGCCATGTACTAACCGGAAACCTCTCAGCAGATTCATACGCCATGACAATACTGGTGTCCGTGAGGCTCTCAAAATTATCTGCAAGCACCACGATGCAATTCCTCACTCGTGCAAAAATCTGCCGATCTTCTTCAGACAGCAGCTGGGCATCGAAAAAAAAAACTTCAAATCAGCAGGAGAATAACGGAAGTTCTTTATTCATATACAGTCCAAAAAATTCACTTCCGTTGCTTTAAAACTAAAGAACTATACATTTTCACAAACATCTAAAACTCAGGAGTAAAAACTTCACGAGTAAATCAAACTAGTTGTAAAATTAAACAGGCTCAAATTGTATCTTATTTTGTGGTCTTGATGGGGGTTTTCCTTTGCACAAAATCATGTAAATTCCAACTTGAAACCAAAATTTCCCGACATCAGCCAAATTCATAAAATATTTTTGCAGTGGCTGCTCCAAAGACTACGGGGACTTTTGCAAGTACTACAAGTACCACGACCACCAAGGAGATGCCACAAATGGTGTCTAAAATGGTGCCTGTTATCACCGAGGTGCCACAGAAGGTGGTGCTTGAATTTTCGGCGACTCCCACTATTTCGGGGGTCAGAAGCACGACCAAGGCGGTTCCTCTAAAAAAAAAAAAAGCTGGAAAATTCAACTCACAGGCAGTTCACTAAGCGCAGAAACGCCTTCTTCCTCGGCATTTTTACCCGTCATCGGAGATATCCATATGTAACCATTGTTTGAAAGAATGACTGTGACTCCGCAAGGCAAACGATGGAAATGCGTTTTTCTTCTCGTCACCAGCCCAGGACTCACCTTGACCATCAATCCCAGTCCAAGCTACAAAAGTAATAACACTTTTAAACCATGCGATCACTTTACTGGGCAAAAATCACCTAGAAAACAAAAATATCCAGTTTGGGGCCAAGAAGTACTTTGAAATATCATTATTCAGGCACCGTAATTAAATTTAAAAACTCAGATTGCTATTTCATGCGCAATGCAACATCGCACTCTTCACAAGTTATCTATTTTTTGATTATCCCGGTTTACTTTCACTGTCTGCACTTGATCATGAACTGCTTGGGCACATCCAAAATGATAAAAAAAAGAGTGTGGACAGTCTTTTGCTATTCATTTTTTTGTTTGTTTGGATTTGTTTCGAACAGTGTTGCAGAAAATATACATTATATAAATTGCTCATATTTTGTAAAGCAGGTCCATTCGTTTAATAATACACCCTGATAATGAAGAACTGAAACCTCCTCTTCACTTCTTGTTCATTCTCTTGGTTCATTTCAGGTAAGCAACTTTAGAACCAAAGATATGCTTTCGGTGGAAAAGTATTGTATTTCGGTAAGAAACAAAATACTGCATCAACAAATAAGATGAAAATGCCTTTGTAATAAGAATCATCCTCTTAGTCGAACTCAGTGGCACCAAAAATCTTGCTTGACAATACATGACTGCAACACACCAGGAACAGAGTTACT